GGCAGCGCGCGGGGCATGACTTGCCTAGCAAGAAACCAAGTGTGGGAGACCTTTTTGAGCTTAATCTTCTCTAGATTATTCTTCCCTTCTTGGAGTGCAAGTCAAGACATTAGTCGATCTAGTAGATTTAGGATTTTATGGTAGTAGGATATTTACTTACCTTAGGATTTAATATTTAATTGTTTTAATAGTTTACTAGTAAGATTAGCATTAGAGGTAGTTCGCATCTATAAATACCCATGTACCTCTTCACTAATAAACATGTCTTGAATTGAGTATTGAATTGGTGAGCCAATTGAGAGGGGAACTTATGTTCTTACGTGTGTTTAAACAAGGCCGTTAGAGCGTGTTTACATACAGTGTCGGAGAGAAGGCCATTAGAGCGTCTTGAAGTCACAGTGTCTAGGAGAAGGCCGATAGTGCGTCTGTTAGATACACCTATCGTGGATAAACGAAGGCCCTAGTGCGCGTTTATTCACAACCCACGGTACGTATAGATAAAAACACGGTCCGTCATCAGCAGTGCGCGACGCCCCGCGGTGATAGCGGACCGTGTTTTTATCTATACGACGGGTTGTGAATAAACATGCACTAGGGCCTTTGTTTATCCATGATAGATGTATCTAACAGACGCACTTAGGCCTTCTCCTAGACACTGTGACTTCAAGACACTCTAATGGCCTTCTCTCCGACACTGTATGTAAACACGCACTAACGGCCTTGTTTAAACACACGTAAGAACAACAATTCCCCTCTCAATTGGCTCACCAATCAATTCTATATTCAACTCTCAACATGTTCAATAATGATGAGTACATGGGTATTTATAGGTGCATAAATTAAATCTAAGCCTAAATAAACTAGATCTCCTAAATCTTGCAATAATAGAAATCCTAATACTAGAAAGCAATAAAATCCGACTATTACCAAAATACTAATGCTTGGCTTGCACACCAAGCAATTCTAGAACCTCCAAATCTTCGCCTCATAAGCTCTCGGCCACCCTAACCTCGTACGCGTCGCACGCGTCTTGTGCACCGCCTCTCGTGCTCGCCTAGTCCTTGGCGCCTTAGGACTTGCGTGTCCGTATCGCACGCGCGCGCCCAGCGTCACCGCCTTTCTTCTTACGTGTGCCTGCCAGCGCCCCTCGCCTATGCCTACTGCGCCTAGGCATGCGCCCGCGCATACCGTCCACTCGCGCGCCTCCGCGCGCTTTGTGCCCCTGCCCGCTGCCTTGCGCGCGTCCCAGCTACCGCCCATGCCCAAATCGCCTATGGCGCATCCGCGTACACTCGTGCAGCTGCCAGCCTCGCGCCCGCATACTCCTCGCAAATCCCACGTGCGCTCTGCCTTCCCGTGCACCTCAAGGCACGATGTGCCACTTAAACATATTAGCTCCCCCATTTTTCTAGCCTCGCGGATGCCAACCTCCACTTCCGTATCATTGCCCTTCTCTTCAAGACCTTCCTTGTCCCCAAGGATAAGAAAATTCAGCTTTCAAACTCTACCAACCTCTTCATCCTCGTCAGGTGACTCGCCTGGATCCTCAGTTCTCAACTTAACCCTCTTACTCGATCTCCCGAACTCCATAGTTCCTTTTCAATAATCAGTTGTGATTGGACCAAGAGTCTCCAACCACTGGCATCCAAGTACTATATCAGTTGCCTTCAACGGCAAGGCATATAGATCCACTCTCATCTTTTGACCATAAGCCTCCATCTTTACACCCTTGAATAGAATATCCCCTCAGAGTGTTTCTCCGTTTTCTACTTTGACTCCAAAAGGTTTAACCTTGGTGAATGGAATCTCAATTTCCTTGGACAACTCCTCATCAATGAAGTTTAGTGTAGACCCACTATCAACCAATACTTCCACAAATTTGCCCCTAACTTCAGCTGTGAATGTGATCATCTTTGGACCACGTTTCTTGCTTTTAACCATATGCAACAAGGACTCCTCCTGAGGTTTTTCCTCCTCACAATCCTCCCCAATTTCTAACAAAAATACTTCCTTACCCTTGCACTTGTGGCCTGGTCTGAATTTTTCGTTGCACGAATAACAAAGGCCTTTTTCTCGTCGACGCTGTATCTCTTCATCAGTAAGCCGCCGAATATTTTTTGTTGTTCGAACAGCTTCTCCCAATGGCTTGTTCTCGGTTCACGCTGCTAGTTCTTCAGTCGCGGCGTGCATGCGCTTGGTCTCCGTGCGCACGTCGCTCGGCCTGGCCTTGCGTACTGCCATCAGATGATCCTCATGTAGTCTCGCCGACTCCATGGCTGCTCGCATCGATCCTGGCCTATCCAACCTTACTTCAGCTGCCAACTCACCCTTAAGTCCTCTAACAAACGTCCCCACTAGCGCACTCTCGGGCCAATCCCACACCCTACTAGCAATACGCTCGAACTCCTTTTGATACTCCCTTAGACTACCAACTTGCTTAATTCTAGACAAAGCTTCATTGTAATCATGGTAGTCACTCGAGCCAAACCTCGTGATGAGCTCTTTTTCAAAATACCTCCAACGCATGTGCTCACCATGGTTCTTGTGCACAACCCATTGCCACCATACGTTTGCTTCTCCATCCAGATGATAAGGAGCAATTTGAACTGTAACACCCCGCTATTTCATGAAATTCAGAGTACGCGTTTTTCGCAAAGTTTCTGAATAAATAAATACAATATTTATTTTGTGAAAACTGATTCGGAGTGCTACTGTAAAAATCTAGACTTTTCTGAAAACCGTTAAATTTTAAAATGATAAGAAAACGGTATATAAAGTATTAACCGACTAAAGTCGGATCAAAAACTGAGTTTAAGTACTGCAAGTTTTAGCGGAATTACAGCGTGGCCAAAACATATATACATATCCACAAATATCCTGAACTGCCCGTCAGCTCACTCCTCGTTCCCGACTCTGCGACCTGAAAAACATGAAATACGTGGGGGTGTGAGCACTAAGGCACTGTGCTCCGCAGAAACTCAAACTAAAGTAAAACAGTGAATATAATAACAATATCATGATCCTGACATATATAACTGAACTGAAACTGAAACTGATATCTGATACCGGTCTGAATAATCTGATACTGATCTCGTGATATAAATCACGTAACTGATAACTGAACATCTGCCGACAAAACTAATACCGGACACCGTGTGCACACTCTAGTGGGCAGATTAAGGCCACTAGAACCCAGAATGGACCGGCGACCATTCCGAGCGGATACTGATAATACATACCTCAAACATGGTAGTGTAATTATAATCAATGTAGTACTTAGTCTGAGTCCCCACCTGATCCGTGAAACTGAAGGTAGTGCTGATGCTTGATCAAACTAAAATATAATATAAACAATTACTACTGACTATGCTCAGACTGATAAATTAACTGATTAATTATGTTAAGATGCTCTACTGAACCTGACATGATATTCAGACTTAATCGGTATAACTGAAACCGATTAAGTACGAAACTAAACTGATATTAATTAACTGAACTGAACTGGACCCGGAATTTTAACTGAAAATGACACTGAAATCAAGAACCGGGATTGAAACTGAAAGAATACTGACTGAACCAGTCTAGCCGGTCTGAACCGGTCTGGACCGGACTGCCGGTCTGCTGAACCGGGCAGTCGGGTGCTGGTTCGGTCAGCGGCCTGCTAAGTGCTGCGCACACGGGCGCTGGCTGACTGGCTGGCTGGCCGTGCGGACTGCGGCTGGGCGGTCCTTGGCACGGGTGTGCGCGATGGAGTGTGCGGGCGTGCCACTGGCATGACTGGCATGTCCTGCGGCAACTGGGCGAGCACTGATGACTGGCTGGACGCGTGCGTGCGCCTGACGCATCGCAGCGTCGGGCTGGGCGCTGCCTCGCGCTATGTGCGCGGGCGCAGGCACTGTTGGGCACTGCCGTGCGCCACAGCTGGTACTGGGCGTGCATGCGCGAACACTCGCGTGCACCACTGACTGGCTGGCGTGTCGCTGGGCACTGCCAGCAACTGCCACTGCGGACAGGCAGCGCGCATCGCCTCGCGGGTGATACGGAAGTGAAATTGGAGTCCGGCGAGTCTAGTGAGGAGCGAAATGGCAAAAGGTGCGCATCGGCACTTGATGCGCACGAGTGGGCGAACAAACCGCGCATGCGGGTTTGGCGGGGAGTACGCGGGCGCAAGATGGACGGGTGCGTGGGTGTACGCGGGAACGTCGTAGGCAATCTAGGCTCGGGCGATAGCAGGGACGCGGGCGTGCGACACAACGCCCGCGAGAAGATCGGCAAGGGCAGGGCGTGCGCGGTATCACGCGAGTGGGACGACGCGGATGGTGTCCTAGACATGGAAGAATTAGGCGGCGCAAGGGCGCTGGGCATGCACGCGCAAGGTAGAGTCGGCGCGGACTGGGCGCGCGCAATGGCGTGCGCGTGTGAGACGGACGACCCACTCCGCATGGGCATAGGAATGGCGGAGGCGGCGCGCGATAGCGCACCCGCAAGGGACACACGCGGTAGGGCGGCCGAGAGTTTTAGCATGTGGGAATTTTATGGAGCTTCTAGATTTGCTTGGTGTGCAAGCCAAGCAATAGATATTTGGTAGCCTTAGGATTTAATATTTAATTGTTTTAATAGTTTCCTAGTAAGATTAGCATTAGAGGTAGTTGGTATCTATAAATACCCCATGTACCTCATCATTATTTGAAAAGTTGAATGAAGTATTGAATTGGTGAGCCAATTTGAGGGGGAACTGATGTTCTTAACGTATGTCTAAACTAGGTCGTTAGTGCGTGTTTACATACAGTGTCTGAGAGAAGGCCATTAGTGCGTCTTGAAGTCACGGTGTCTAGGAGAAGGCCGCAGTGCGTCTGTTAGACACGTCTATCGTGGATAAACGAAGGCCCTGA